ATGATGAGCCAATTTTTAAAAGAAATTGTGATCTCTAAAATAAACTATACCGTTGTCAAGAAAAACAGGAATACTGATGCTGACACATTTATCATAAACCAGTTAACGCAATCTGAGAATAAAGCACATTTTAGATAGACATTTACATTAAACAACTAAAATATTGTAACAACAAGAGATACAAATGCTAAAGAGTAAGAAACTTTTTAGAATTTGACTTTAGTTCCTGTTATTTCCAAGCAAATATTCCCTAAAATGCCTTTTTTGGACCCTGTCCTGTAAAGGAGGGAACTTTAAACTTAAGTAATGACCTCACCTTGTAAACTTTGATCCCAAATCTGGGATAAAATCTGCCTTTTTCATCTACTGAAACTCTAAACTATCGAGCCAAAATGAAAGCAATCACATGTTTGAGTAACATGAGATCTTAATTCCACTTCTGACTTGGTTTGGCTTTCGTTCCTTCAGATACAGACTCACAAAGGGCTCGAATTATGATCCACAGCATAGACATTTTCCCACATTTAAAACAAATCCTCATTCAAAACAAAAAGCGGAATCTTTGTCGTTAATATGAAGAAAAACGGAGAAATCCACCGGGCGAACTGGGAAAAGGCGCCCTCTAGTGGCCGGATTTAGAGGCTAAGACTGTGAGGGCGTACCTTCCATAGTGGAGATGAATTCTTTCTTTCCGTCGGTGTTGGTGGATAAAACTTTGTAGAACCTCCTCAGTTTGGCGTTCCGGCTGTAGTTCTGTCAAAACACCAAAACACACCGCCTTCATTTTTAAATCCCTGCGTCATTTTGGGTAAATTCCGGCTCGTTTCGGGTTATTTGAGAGCCACACATTAGCCCTTTAAAGCCTGATCCAAGAAAAATAGGAAGAATATTGGATTTTTTTAGTCTAAAGTCTTTCTTTGGCCCCTCAACAACATATGAAGAAAAAAAATAGACATTATTTTGATAAAATTAGCGTGCAATAAGTCAAAAATGTATTTTGGTGTAGTCTTCTACTGGCTGTTTTCAGGTATATCTGAATGTGTACAACAGGGGTTTGAGCAAAGCACCTGGAAAACCACCTGAAAGGCTGTTTTCCTTTTTCTGCCCACCTGCAGAGAGAGGCTCCAGCTGTGGAAGTTGGAGGTGATGTTTTCCTCGGCCAGAGACTGCAGCAGGTCTTTGGGAAAGCTCCTGAACAACCGGCTGGAGGGGGCCGCTG